AACCATGCAAAACTGCACCACTAATTCTTCTTTCCACTCAAGATCCTGAGGATCTTCCACCTGCCTCATTCCTGTAAGGTTTCTCTCCAGAAAAACCTCCATGTTTACATGCAAATAGCTATACAAGTGGCTTGTCTTGCCAAGTCTAATTAAAACACTTTACACATTCTATTTTTGCATTTTTAATTTTATATCGGGGTAAAACTAAAGAGAGATGTGACACAACTGCTAAAACGGTTCATTGTTATCCTTCAACATCGAGAGCAGCAACTGGCACTGAAACAGGTACTCCTTCTACCCCAAACTGCAAGAATTTGCAATTAAGAGACCTGAAAAGATTTCCTCTTTGCAGTTAAGCAACATTTGAGGTCTTATGATGGCCCGATCTAAGTTTAGGAAAATCACAAACGGATCGCTGAAGAGGAGGAGAGAAGGGTACTTAGGGATGAAAATTAATTATCCTCTTGCACATCTGGAATAATTTTACAGAATATGTATACACAAATCTTGATTAAATGCCAGGTCACAATAAACAGTACTAGTGTGATGACTGACAGCATCACTCTGGGAAGTGTTTACACCATTCTCCTGTTTAGAAACCATGACAGAAGAACTATCTGCTCACAACCATTCTCAGAAGCATGTCAAGCTTTTCAAGTTCCCTTTTCCACCATTAGCAGTATTCACAAAGATACCTCATATTATTACCTCTGACAGCAATTAAAGTAAGGAAACAAGAAAATGAGAGGAGTTGCTTTAAACAAGTGGTTCTATCAGTAAAACCATTTTGGGGGAAAAAATTTAAAAGAGAATCCACGTGACCTCATGCACAATCCATCAAATTCCTGCAAGACTGACAAGCCAAAGATGAGTAGCTGGAAAGAATTGTCATTCTGATGGAATATTCCAATCCTAGATAATAAAACCTCTTCCTTGAGCTAAAAGAATATTTAGAAAACTTGAACATCTGGGAGGGAGATTTAGAGGGGGGATTAACTAGTGAAGAAGTGAAGTGGAAAAGGGAGTGCTCAATAAAGCATATAGATTGTCTGACCATTGATTTAATTTCCACTTTTCAGCCCATAAATGATGCATGATCTATGGAATGTGGTTAATAAGGCAGTCCCCTGTGATTTGTTGAATTGGGTTTTTACATAATGAAGAATGTTAAAACATTATACACTAATTTAAAACTTTTACTGAACAATGAAAAATGTTAACAGAATCAAATATTCCCACATAGAAAATAAAAAACCTTTGGTTTTTTTTCTTTAATACTATAATTAACAAAACCACTGTAATACATTTTTGCCAATGAAAGAGAAACTATGGCATAAAGAAAATGCCAGAGAAATATTAAAAAGGAAAAAGAAGCATTGAAGAACTACACAAATAAAAAATCTCTAGACACTTTCAAAAAGAAAAAAGCATCAAGTTTGAGCCTGTGTGATCCTAATTTATAAGTAATTTTGCACAATGATGGTTTCATAATGTACTGAAGCACAGAAAGGGCTTTGAAAGTTTGTACACCTTGAGTACTTAAATTTGGCTAGTCACTATTCTAACTAAGGGAAATTCAGGAAGTTGCATAAAATTTCTTTCCAGAAAGTTTTCAGACTTGAGCAAAGGCATCCTAAAAAAGACTTTTTAACTATTTCTAAAGCTACCATGCTTTAAACACCTGGAGAAGAAAACAAATAAAATACAAAAACAACCCCCCATCCCCACCCTATCTGCTTCGAAGACATTCTTAAAAAAACATCTACTGGTATTGCTAGGAATGACACAACTGAGCTCACCAACTTGGTTTGAGCTCACCAACTTGGTTTGGCTTCCACAACATTGACTAATGTGATAGCAATGTACACAACCATCGCAGCCGTGGTGCAGAACTGGGACCTCCTAACTGTGACACCACTCAAAAGCAAGAGGCGTTGGGATACTCACAGGACAGAAGTTAGCATTTTCAGTAAGGTATTGAGAACAGAGTATATTTACATATATCTTAAGATAGAGAATATAACAGAGTATATATATATTTATATTAATATCAGCAGTCAATTAACTGTAGGGAAATAATGATTACCTGAATCACAATGCACATCTCTTGTAGAGAGACAGGGACCAGGCCAATGCATCCTCCTCACATCAGCAAACACCAAAAACAAGCATGCCTGACATGTACATAGTCAGCCCTCGTTTACACATTTTCTGCTTCCAGCAATCCTTTTTCTTCTAAAGAATGTACTTTTTTAGAAGCAACTGCCAAAGGCTGCTAAGAATCCTTGCACTTCTAATGGTTCGTGGACTTGCATTTCACATTGCTACTGCAAACATATTCCAGTTGTTTTATAGCTAGAGAGGTCACCTCAAATCAGTCTCACCGCAAACTTGCAACAAAATATGAGTTGTCACTTACTGCAAAGATGAACATTTATATGCTTGATTTTCAGGATGCAACTAAACACACCAAAATCAAAGAGACAACTAATCAATGAGCTTCACCAGTATCTACCAGTTGTGCTGGTTCAACCGTACAGACTGCTAACTCAATGAAAATTATTTTTATTTTGATATTGACAGAGAAAAAAAGCATATAACCCAACCAGAAGCGAAAACTCCAAACACAGAGATTTTGAAGAAATGCCAACAGGAAGCATGCAAATGCCATAAGCAGTACCAACTGACTGTGTTACAATTCCATGATCCAATTGATTGAAATTGGGATATCTAAACAAGTACAAATATCTGCTTTAATTTAATTTTTGCAGAGTTAGTAACCATAGAGAAATGTTATCCTCTTTCAACTCTTCACCAAATGAAACTAAGAGGGCATGCAGGGAAACACCAGAAGTTACATGCTAGAAAAGAAAGCATAGGTTAAACGCTTTTTACCCATTCAAGGGCTGGTGTTCAGGTTTTTGATTTTTTTGCATGCACTAGACAAAAAAAATGCATCAACCAGAAACCATTTTCAAAATCTGTCTTATTCTGTGGTCCAAAGGTCAAGTCACTATCAAATTTTCAGGTATATTTTTTGTTTCAAATAAAAATCGTTCAGTTATAAAGCAACAAGCTCAAACTGACTACAAATAGCACAACTCAAGCTGTTTGCCTCCAGTAACGGATGGCAAAGGATGCTGTTTAGCAAAATTTGGTATTTCATTACTGCATTAATGAACAAGCTTCACAGATAACAATCCACCATTCTGTATAAAAAAATCCCAGGACTAAAAATTCTGTCTTAATACTAAGTTACCACAGGGCCTTCTACATCAGTATTATTTCTGCTCTCCCTCTCCACCTCTCCGAACTTCAGTTTAGTAACAAATCCACACTCTGTGCTTGGACAGTGGTTTCAACTACACTGTTTTAAATGAAAGGATGCTGAATGTTCCATAATATTTGATTTAGAGAAATTAATCTAACAGCAACTCAGTCAGAAAATGCAGGAGGGAAGGAAATACTTTGATTACAAAACAAATTCCAGGTTTTCCCAAAGCACAGGGTGCAGTTATAAAAGAGGGGGTGACAAACAACAGGTTTTTTAAAAGCTTTCAAAATATGAATAAAATAACCAATATAGAAACATTTCACAATATGCAGAGCAGCAATTCCAACAAGGATTGCATTTGAACTGCTGACTATCTGACATATAAAAAAGCTGATGCATTCAAGGCAGCCCTTAACCAGTTGATGACTTAAACTACACAGAGCAGCAGTGATCGCATTAAAAACCTAATGCATCATTTCCCACAGCATAAAGCAGGCTGTCAGAATTGCAGAGAAATGAGATATTTATTTTTCTGTTATATTAATAACGTAAGAAAACACTCCTGAAAACCTTGAAAGCTGAACATCTCCATCCAGTAGCAGGAAAATAATTTGCTAGAAGGTCACTGGCTTGAGATGCACACAGTAACAGCATACAAGCTTCTGAAAGAACACTTACACTGCTTTTTTAACACCAGCTCAGATGCTTGATTTTTATAGCCACAGACATATAGTTATATATATAAAATCAACATGCACTATACTGCTTATATCCAAACTGCAGAACGTTCTCCTGAGCATGAGAGCTACAAAGGGTACTTACACAAAAGGGTGATTCCTGCATTCTTTACAGTAACTAGGCTAGCATGACCTCAACAGGCTTCCAGATGAGCTGGGCTGAACCAAGCCAGTACTGAGAGGCACCCTCCCAAAAAAGATGCTCTGCAGAACACATGGGTGCACGTTTTGCCCACCAGATTCCCACACTCACTTCAAATAAGTCTCATTAACTGAAGGGGGGAAAAATAATGTTACTGAGATTCTTGTTTTCAAGAGCAAAGAATATCCACTCTTGTTAGGTCTATACTTCCAGTACCGGCTTACTTCCCTTCAGGAAGTGCATTCCCCCACAAAATTCTTTACAGCACTGTTCCTCCTCTCTAAATCCATCTTCTAAGTGCAATGCTGGGAAGTTAAAAAAGAGCATCAGAAAACCTGAAAAAGCCTACTGTAACTTTGAGCCCTGGTCTTGAAAAAATTCTTCCATACTTCTCAACACAGGGATGAAAGGGATTTGGGTCAGCAGTCCTGCCTAAATGGTGAATCCTCAGACTGCACAACTGCATCTTCAAAACATTTTGCACTCAAGTAAAACTGTCCCATTAAAAAAGCGAAACAGTTCATTAGAGCACTGGCCTCCTCCTCATAAAACACTTAATCTGATGTTAATTTGAGGGACAATAAATCTGTCATGCAAAGATCTGAGGGTCTTTTTAATCAAAATAATTCCTTTTGGGTTTGGCTGTGACTCTCTTTCTTCCAGATGAGCCCAGCCAAGGACAACAGATACAAAGAGTAGTGAGACACCACCCAATCTAATTTAGCAAGAATAGAAACTGGCACTTGTGTGCTTGGCAGCACTTGGCAATTGCTCATGTGACAGACAGCTGTGTCGCAGTGCTTTGTATTCACATGCCCAGAGCTCTCTGCAGCAGAAAAAGACACACCTGCAATGGGCTGCCCCAGCAGCTGGAACTCTCATCAGCCCCTGGCATAGCAGATCATCTCTTCCAGGACCCAGAGGGAGAAGTTGCAGTCTCCCTCCATCTTGCTCAGCCGCTGGATATGTAGCTAGAGCCATCTTCTCTTTGCCTGATTGCTTCTCCCCAAACGACAGCTGACAGATCAGCACCTGCCCAGTTCTGACTGGCCACAGCCTGAACCACCGCTGCCTATTCCCTATGGGAGGGACAAGCAGAGGTGAGACCAGGAATGCTGTGGAGAGGAGAGCACACCAAGGAACTGATGAGACACAAGGAAAACACAAATGATCCACAAATACTGTGGCTGAGTCCCTGAACACAAGGCCATGGAAAACCATTTCAATGTGCACAGGGACATTAATTCTTCCAATTCATTTTTCAGATGATGGTAACTCAGCACCAGACATTCAGAAATTCTTTTTCTCTGCTACACCGCAGCAAACATTTTTAAGCTACAGTGGTGAATCAGTTCTTTGCACTTTCTTCAACAAAGCTTGAGAATATAACAACACCCTGATGGGCTGTTGTTTGTTTAGAACAAAATATGGGAATCTCATTCAAAAACAAACATTCAATGCTAATTAAAAAAAAAACCAAAACAGTAAATAAATCTGCTTAAAGAAATCAGCTTCAGAATAAAGCTAGGGAATCAGCTTCAGAATAAAAGGCCCCTTCTAACTTTAGGCATTTTTTCCCATTATATAGGTACACTGGTATCCACTAGGAATCCCAACAGATGGGTACCAAACTAATTTGTGTGGTAACCAAGTTCTTACTCTACAGACCCTACAAGCTTCATATCTTCAGAATTACTGACACGTTATTCAACTTCTACTTTGATGAAAGCTAAGCAGCCATTCCTCCTCTAGCTGTGTTTCTCTAAATTTAAAAAAAAAAGTTAATGAACAGACTGTACCAAATTTATGTCAAGACCTAAACATCTGCTAAGAACACTTTCTCAGAATTCAATCCACAAAGAGCAGCAAGCTTATGTGCTGACTTGCTTTTATTCACACCTGCTTAATTACAAGAAAAACAAAAAAAATGCTCTAAGTACTTTTCAAATATCAATTTCCTTGCAACCAGAATCAAGAATCACTACACAACTGTTTCAAAAATCACAAGAGCTGACTTGCACAGCCATCAGCTAGACAGTCCCCAAGGCACAAGATTATGAAATACAGCACAAGGCACTTTTGAAGGTGTTAGAGCTAATACAAAATGCTCAGTTTTCGAAGATAGCAACACACTCAAGTTCAAGTCCTTGAACAAGGAATTCTGAATTACATAAATAATGATTTTAATGATAGACTGAAAAAATTTCACTTGAATCCTACAAGATAATACAGTGGGCTAGTGTGAAAAACATATATTCACCACAGCAATGCCTGCACTTTTTCATTTCTCAGTTTGCTGCTGTCTGGAAGGAGAGGAGCACCATTTGACCCAATATTAAAAACAAGTTTCATGTTGACCAAAATAACGCTATTTTTACATCAGTTCACACCAGAAAGGTGCTCTGCAGAAAAGCATGTGAGAAATGAAAACACTATCTTCAGAAAAAGATTTAAATACCATGTCTAATGTGATGCTTAGAGCTGCTGAACAGTAGAAAAGAAAATGAACAATTACTTACTAACAGAAGATCAGCCTTGCTAAGGTAATGAATGAAGCTAGGTTCCTACATAGTATCACTCACTGTACTTTTATAAAAGAAATGCAATTTTAATTGTGGAATTTCCCAATACTTGGTTACTTTCATTGTCAATCAAGATACTCTCTTAGAAGCCTGATCACATATTTAATGCCCTAATTGAGTAGTAACTTTGTGCAGACCTTCAAGAGCTAGACAGCAGCTTCATTTCTATATGGGATTCCTTACCCAAATTGGAATTATGCCAGTATTTAGAGATACAGGACATGGGCTCTCCAACCTTCTGTAGAATAAGATAAATGAAAATATTTTGGCAAGGAAACAGTCCCTCACCAGCAGAACCCTTCTTCGAAACTCTAGCAGTTTCTCATATTGAAGCATTGAATTCAACAATACCAGAGTCCCCCACCTTACAACAAGCTCCGCTTTTGCTAGCAAATAAAATGAGGCTTGTCAATAGAAAAGTTCCCCTCCTACTCAAAAGTGAAACTTCTGAGCTAACTTTAAGCATTAACACTGCAACTTGAAGCTCTTCAGCAGTTACCCGAAGTACAGAAAGATGAAGTCTGACACATACCTAAAAGCCTGCTGTCCTCGCAAGCTCCTTTTCTTGCTGCATGGTCCCACCCCCTCTAACACATCCCTGACTAATCAGTGAGCCAGTTTGATTCAATCATCTGCACATAAATTATGACTCTTCCCTACCCCTACAGCTATTTCAGTCTTCTCCTAGAATAACAAACTCAGTCTGCTTATCAAAAGGTCACACAAGTGTCAGGTCAGCACAAGCATGATGCTCCTACACGATGAACGAACACTTTGCTGCTGCTTGTCTCATCCAGCAGCTACCTTCAAAAGACAGGCTATTAAAACAGTCCAATTTCCTCTCAAAAGCAAATGGGTCTTCTCCAGCTCCATTATAAATTACAGGAAAACAAACTCAGCTGTGTCAAATGCTTATTAGCATTTGTTTTGTAGGTGTATAGGAACATAAATGCAATCATCTGGAAATAAGAGGAAAAGGTCCACACAACTACCTTGCTCCATGGATGCAACACTGAGCTTCTCCCATTCAATTAATTAATTTTAATTAACTAAATGTTTAATTTAGATGCATAAACAGTAAAGTGCATATAGTTCCTATTTTCTTTGTGCATTTAAATGCAGCATTTCTGATATGCAACCATATTTCCATCTCTGAGACAGAAAGAAAAAGTTATGTGCCAAAACAGTTTCTGAGGAGATCCGTTTCTGAAACGATGCAAGACCAGTGCAAAAATCAAGTGGAATTGACAACCACAAACCTGATCTTCCCAAACCCAGAAGTGAGTTTCAAGCTGCTGTTAAAACACTCACTCCCACCACTATGTCCCAAGCACATGATCGAAGTGACAGTCACAGTGGCATCCTCTGATCTTCTGCCATGAAGTGACCAAATTGGGCCTTGTAATTTTTACAGTGCTAACGCCTGGTCATTAATTCCAACCGAGGAGAAATCTCGTCGATTTCTCTAGACAAAAAACCCCCAAACTAAAACAAACAAACAAAAAACCAAAACAAACAAAAAAAAACAAACCCCCCCAAACAAAAACAAACCCACAAAAAAAACCCACAAAACCCCCACCAAAAAAACCAACAAAACAACAACAAAAAACCAAGCAAACAAAAGAACCCGAACCAACCAAAAAAAAAACCCCAAAACCAAGCCAAAATAGCAAAACCCAACAACGCCTACTACTCTATCACACGTTTCTCTCCTATATACTTTGCATTTTCTTGGGCGAGCGTAAGTTTCTTTTCACAACAAGCAGAATCTTTCCTTTATCCGCCTCCTCGCTCACACCGAACACTCCACAGCCGGCAGAGAGGGTCACCCGCGGGCCGGGCGTGCCAACCCCACACAAACCCTGTCCTGCCCCAGTGCCCGGAGCTGCCTCCACAGCCCCAGCTCTCCTCCGAGCCGCGGTCACGCCCCGCCCAGGTGAAGCCCTCCTTCCGCCAGCTTCCCGTGGCAGTGCCGGAGCGGGCAGGAAAAAAATGTTTCTTGTTTAGTTTTGGTTTTGTTTTTTTGTTTCAAAACAGGGCTCTTCTCTCGCCCTTTGTGGGCCAGGCCGGGGACAGGTTCGGCGTGAAGAGCCACATGCCGAGAGGCGCCCCCTCCCAGCAGCAGAGCCCCGGAGGACTGTTTTTCCCTCCCCCGGCCGCCATAGCTGAGGGGCTCGCCCGCCGCCGCGCTCGCACCCACCTTTCTGCGCCTCGGTGCCCAGCAGCAATAGCAGAAGGAGGAGGCTAGGGCGGAGCAGCGAGGCCGCCCGCCGGGTCCCCGCAGGGAGCGGCCGCCCCGGGCTCACCATGCCCCGCGGCGTAGCCGGCGCGCCCAGCTGTCCCAGGGCATCGCGGACTGCGGGGCGGCCGCCCTGGACTGCGTCTGAGCGCTGCGCTCCCGCCAGCCCGCCCGTCCCCTGCGGCCGCCCAACCGCTTCCGGGGGCGCACGGGACCGCCCCCCTTCCTGCCGCCCCCTCCGCCCCACACGGCCGGGCCTAGGCGCCGCGGAGCCCCAGGCTCGGCGGGGCCGCGCCGCTGCCGCCGCCGCCGCCTGGGGCCCTTTCCGCTCCCGCCCTGAGCAGCGCCCTCCCGGGCCGCTTGCGCGGGGCTTAGGGCCCCAGACCGAGTCCCAGGGACCCAGCGCCTGAATTCCCGCTCTGTTCCACATCCGACCTCCTCTGCTAGCTGGCTACGAATATTTCACTTTTTTGAGCTTTTTTCCCTTCTAGAAGTAGAGATTAAGACAAAATTTCTGGGGAAAACTCAAACAAAAGCCCTTGGAAACACGGGTATTGCTGTTGTGAAAGGATAATCATGGTGCTCCACACGCTAACGTGAATTCAGCTCTAGATGTGGGAGGGCTTGGCTGTGAGCCATTGCAGCTTTAGCCCTTGTCCCCCAGCTTTTGAGCACACACCGGTGTGATTGGAGAGCTTTCCAGCTGTTGCACTGTAGGACTTTAGGACGAAATTGTTCTCCACTTCTCCCAAACAGCTCTACGTCACAGATACTGGTTCCTGGCTAGAAGTGTCCAGTGCTGGCCCAACCAAAATGGCAGGAAATCGTCTCAGGAGCCTGTTTTACCCAATCCACAGAGTTGCTTGAAGAAGTATTTTGATTATGTTTAGTAATTGTTTTAACATTACTATTCCTTATTAAGATGCTGAAAACTTAACTGAAATAAACAGGGCCAGGAGACTTCTTCTCCTTTCTAAAGCCTTTATTAAAAGTGATCAGCTCAGGATTGGGCAGCTTGGCAGGGCTGCAGTCCCTGTCGCGTCTCCCAGGGCAACTCAGAGGAGAAGAATATGCGCAGCTCTATCCACTAGGGGCAGAGCCGGGGGATCCAGGCCTTGTGGGAGCCTTTAGGGCGTGATGTCCCCGTCAGATGTTGCTTTCTCAGCGCGGTCCCCCTCAGTCTCAGTGCTGGGGACGACTCCCGTGGTCAGTGCAAGAGGGACTCCGCATCTCTGCAGGCTCAGCACTTGGCTCCTCACGTCCGGACATCACTTTAGTCTCTCAACTCTTATTTGGCTCGTTGTTTTTGGGGTTTTCTCTGTGCATTTGGAGCTGTAGTCCCCCACAAGCATGCTGGTCCTGGAGTCACTTTGCATAACCCCCCCCTCCAAGTCTCTTCTCCTCACTGTTTGGGAAGGGCCCCACCCATTACTGTCTCGGAGAAGGGCCATTACCTCACCCCAGCCAGGGCTTTTACTAAGACCAAAACAACCATTAACAAAAACGACCCGTAATTACCATAACATAAGCAGCAGCCCAGCAATAGTCCTAGCTTTTTTCTTACAGAAAAAAATCAACTGAATTTTTGTTCATAACAGGATTTATGCAAAGTGACTCCAGGACCAGCATGCTGTGGGGGATTACGGCTCCAAACGTACTAGGAAAACCCCCAAAACAACGAGCAAAGTAAGAGTTGAGACTGGAGTGATGTCTAGACGTGAGGAACGGAGTGCTGAGCCTGCAGAGATGCAGAACACCTTCGGAGTCCCTCTCGCCCTGACCAGGAGTCATCCCCAGCACCGAGACTGAGGGGGACGGGGCCGGGAAAAGTAACAACGGATGGGATCACCACGCCCTAAAGGCTCCTGCGAGGACCTGACCCCCACCTTTGTCCTTAGTGGACAAAGCTGCACATATCCTCCTCCTCTGAGTCGCCCTGGGAGAGACAACGGGAGACTGCAGCCCCGCCAAGCTGCTCAATCCTGAGATGATCACTTTTAATAAAAGCATTAAAAAGGAGAAGAAGTCTCCTGGCCCTGTTTATTTCAGCTACTGGAAGGTGGCTTCTCATATAATTAGGGAATTGTTATGAACAAAAGTTTGGTTAATATTTTTTTTGTGAGAAAGAGTTACAGGGATGCAGCCAGATCTCTGTTTCTGCCAGGGTTCTTCGTGCTTTGTTATTGTAATCACGGGTTGTTGTAGCTTATCTCCTCTTTCTCCTCTTTTGTATTAGTAAAAGCCCTGGCTGGGTGGGGTGATGGCCCTTCCCCGAGGCAGTGCTCTCTTCCAGCATAGTGAAGACACCTGAGAGGGTGGGGGGGGTTATGCAAAGTGACTCCAAAGACCAGCATGCTTTGAGACCTCGACTCCAAAATGCAATGAGAAAACCCTAAAAACAACGAGCCACCTAAGAATTGAGAGACTAAAGTGATGTCCAGACGTGAGGAGCCAAGTGCTGAGCCTGCAGAGACGCGGAGCCCCTCTCGCCCTGAGCAGAGAGTCGTCCCGACGGCGGGACCAGGAAGGACCGAACCAGGGACACCAATATCTGATGGGGACATCATGCCCTAAAGGCTCCCGCGAGGACCGGATCCCCCAGCTCTGCCCCTAGTGGATAGAGCTGCGCATGTTCTCCTCCTCTGAGTTGCCCTGAGAGACACGACAGGGACTGCAGCCCTGCTGAGCCGCCCAATCCTGAGCTGATCACTTTTAATAAAGGCTTTAGAAAGGAGAAGAAGTCTCCTGGCCCTGTTTATTTCAGGAATTATAAGCCTTTTAGGAAACATGAGCATTTTAGAACATTTTATATTTTTCCTCTTTTGAAACCTTTTAATGACATGGGAAGAGACAGCAATGAAAGCAAAGTCAAGGAAGTGTATTACAGATGAATCTTTTTAGTTGTCTTGTAAGATGTAATAGCCACCAATACATCCTGCAACACATAATGGAAGGTGAATCAAAAATAATTTATATATGTTGCTTTGTCTTCCATTCACCAGACACAGAAGTTCATGCCATAGATCTGTGGTAAATAGGTATGATTTGTGCTGATAAAAATTGAAACAGTAACCAATATTGATACAGTAATTAATATTTGAGAATAATAAAATAGTTAATAGTTAAAAGTTGTAATGCCAAAGAAGAGAGGGAAAGGAGGGGCTCCACCCACCCCCCCCTTCCCAGCAGATGTTCTCAAGGACCACAGGAAAGAAGCTGAAGATACAGTTGCTAAAAATGA